AGTCAGGCCAGTCTAAGGTCATTACAAAAAGAGTTATCAACGACTAGGCTGGTGGAGGAAACTGTTGAACTTATCAATAGGATCACTTCTAAGTATGAGAATAGGGTAACCCTTATTTGGATACCAGCACATAAAGGACACTATGGCAATGAAGAGACGGATAGCCTGGCCAAAGAAGGCTCAAATACTGCGTTTGTCGGGCCACAACCGGTATTACCCCATTCTATAAGCACAGCGAAAGAGAGTGTTAATAACTGATGGCATGAAACATTCCTTAAAGAATGGAATTTGTCCCCCGGACATAGGCACTTGAGCTCAAGTGGTAGAGCAGTGGCGTATCAAGCCGAAGATCGTGGGTTCGAATCCCGCTCGTGCCATTGACATTTTTATCTCAACTAAAAACCTTAATTAATTATAATATATTAATTGGTCAAGCGGACCACGAAATTAGTGAATTTAATGATTTAAAATGAAGTATACTTCACTAAAGCTCTCCGTGGCCATTTCATTTACCGTCGAGAATCCAATCCGATTACACGACATTTGAAAAATGGCAAAAAGGAGAAAAAATTCAAAAAGGTGCGGTTGAGATGGGAGGTTGGTGTCCGAGTGGATCGAGGTGCTCAAGTGGTAGAGCAGCGGCGTATCAAGCCGAAGATCGTGGGTTCGAATCCCGCTCGTGCCATTGACTTTTTTATCTCAACTAAATACCTTAATTAATTAAAATATATTACAAATAATTTTAAATTATTTAAAATATTATTTATTATTATTCATGAAATTCCTTCATGAAAGGGATCGGACTGCTTAGAAACTGAATGCTTTGTTTTCTCTCAAATTGACCACATCATTGAGTTTTAATCAATTTAAAAAAATTATGTTTTTAATAACATTGGATGTTTATGTTTTGTTTCAGAAGAAGAGATGAAGCCCATCTAAGAGAACTGAAACGGAAGAGGACATCCAGAAATCCGACCATCCTTTACAGGCAAAACACGAGAGAAGAAATCGAGCTTAAACAATGGCTCAAGTTCATATAATAATGTTATATTTGTTTCCGTTTTTAATTTCATTTTCCTCTATTAAAATTAAGGAGAAAAAGTGTTGCAGTCGCAGGACGATTAAGATATTCTATAAAAATATGAGGGCCCTATGAGGGCTGTCAAACGTGCCTTATCATCATTAAGAAGAATAAACAAAAAAGACAAAAGAAAGAAAATTAACTTGTGGTTTATTATCGTAGCCATTACGAATTTATGTGTCTCCAGAATTAAAATCCATAAACCTTCAAAGAAAATTTCCCTCCTTGAAGATAAAATTTTGTGTAATGAAATTATAAACATATTCCAAAGAAAAATGTTGTAAATATTTTAAGAAAACTGTAATCATTGTTATTTTAAATTTAAATGTTTCAAATTTATTTGTAGAGTGTAAGTAGATGTAAATAAATAATACTTATTGATTGTTTTTTAAATTTTTTATTAGAGTTCAAAAGTTTAAAGGGAATACCAAAATTCCTATTCTACATAAAAAGGGAGGATACGGAGGATATGTACGTGGTAAAACTGCTTTTAATAGAACTTGTTTTTGGTGTTACTAAATACAAAAAACATTACATACATGTCCGAATGTTCTTGCTGATGACACTTTTTTTTTCAAAATTTTGACAGTTTTTCCGCCTTTATCGTGCAAGCTATATATATANATATAAATATATTATATATATATAAAATAAGCATTATATTTATGTACAGCATGCAAGATCGAATTAAGAGTAGATATAATAAAGACGCTTCTATTAAAGTAAGAAAAAAAATATGTAATGTAAAGCAGTATTAAATGAGATTAGATTCATAAAAAGCTACAACAATCAGAAGTTGCTTTCATTAAAATGTGCAAAAATTGTTTTTAAAAGCCGATTTGGATTCATCCGAGCCACCTTTTACTGCCCATAAAAAGTAATTTTAAAGGCAAACAAAGTAAAACTAAATGTTTTTGGTCTGCAATACCAGGTGTCATGTTTTTTTACATTTCAAAATTATATTCAATGTACGCCGTTAGAAAGTTACATTTATTCTCTTTGAGTCCAACAATCGTTTCATTCTATTATAATTGAGAAAAAGAAGGATAAAATAAAAAAGTTTTATTGCATATATCCGGCTCTTGTTTACTTACGTAGGCCAGTCTTGTGCCTTGTCGCGTAGGTTACCCCTCAAAAGTTTTTTAATAGATATCGGCGGAGAGGTTTGAAATTTTTGTGATTTTCGAAAAAATATATACCTTGCTATTGGCAGCCAGAATTCTTTTCAATGAAATTTATTAAAAAAATTCATGAAATTAAATTTAAAAGCAAGAAACAACATTGACATTTGTTTTTGTTTTTTAATCCCAACAACCTAAGTAATAAATTTTTTTCTCGGAAGATTAAATTTTTTTCAAAACATTTTTCCTTTCTAATGCCTTCGATGTTTTTATAAATAAAAAAAATTGTGATAACTTTCAAGTGACCCCTAATCTAACGGAAAGATAGGAATAGTTCTTTACCTACGTAATAGCACAAACATCGCCGACGAAAATAAATTACTACTGGAAAAATGAAATAAAACTTTATTTTTTATTTCATATTTATTTTTCACCCTTAAAATGGCATAATATCTAAACGTTTTTGACAGAGCCTGAAAACTAAATAATACATTTTCTAAAGGTTTTATTTGATTTTGATAAAATTCAGTTTGAAATTTTTAAAGTTGATCACAAAACCTCGGCAGAAAAAAAAATCTCTCCGCTCTGAGAAACTTGCCCAAAAGTGTTCTACTTTTATGTTGGAATGAATATTTGTATTAAAGGGTGTTAGAGGATGCTTACGAGGAATCAAAATTCATTTTATATTTAAAAAATAATTTTTTGATCTACTTTGCTCGATGCAACTTTTTGTTTTTATAACTATTCATATTTCTAATCTCATTTACCACATTCATATTTTCGATCTCATACCACCTTGTATAATATTTTCTAATCCTACGTAAAATAACAAATCGATTGATACATATATTTAGTAATAACGTCGATATGCATGCAAAGCAGATAGAAAACATATTTTAAAGATAATAGAATGATAATTTCATAATGGGAGTTTTATGGGGTGCGTAAACGATATCCTATTTTCTCAAAAAACACAAAATTTGGCCTTTTTATCTTTTTGTTTTTGTGAATTTTTATGTACCTGATCTTATTTAATACAATTTTGCCACTAATTTTTTTTTAATCTTATGTAAGAAACAAATCGACTTTGAATACTTTCAATACAACAGGAACATAAACCCAAATTTAAACAATTTAAGTTTCTTTACAAAAATGTTCTCTCTCTTGCAAGAACCGCGGGCACGTGTCTAATATTTTCGACTTAGAGACTTAGCACCAAAAAAGGTTTCATTAAAATCCGTGATACCACATTTGTAGCCTTTCCTTCTTACTTGATCTTAACTTTTTTCTTTTTACTGTCCTATTCGATCACAAATTATAGCTGATAACTATGTTATATCGGGGGCGTCGGTGGCCGCAACGGTTTAGGCGTTGACACGGCGCTCATCACTGTAAGGTGAAGGTCCTGGGTTCGAATCCAGCGGCCCTGCATTCGAACCCGACATACTTACAAATGGGCTTTTTTTTTCAAAAACACCGGCACCCCGAGGGCTTATATGATCTCTACTGATGCTAACCCTCGTAAAAAAAGGTAGGTAACGGACGTTATATCCACATTCCCATCATTCCCAACTCGCATGACTGAACAAGAATTATGTTTTAGCTATAACATGAACGTTCAGTACACAAAATAAGAAAAACAATTTGCAGAGCAGTTCATTTTATAACTTTTATTTTTTTTACATTTCATTCATTTATCTGATTAATTCTACTTGTACTATTTCAACGTTATGAAAATTCTCCCTGATTTATTTTTCTTTTAGTATGGCGTTTAGAAAGTGATGTTTTATCGAGAGAACTTTCGAGCTTTTTTTCTTTTCCTAAATGTATAAAACAGAAAAGGCCAATTCACGAAAGGGTTTGAGACCAGTTTCTAAAAACATTTTAAATGAATGACCTTCCGGAGATGTAATTGAAGACTCCCTTATCAAAACCCAAGAGAACACCGCAAAGACATCCTTGATATTAAGTTTTAAAATGATTTGTACATTAGAAATTCTTGTTCCCAGTGTTATAATACTTAGCACTTTAAAAATTCCTCAACCTATTTGGCTATACATTCTTGCTTAACTCCACGTCTATTAGATTTGACTAAAATTTTCATAAAAACGCATATTGTAAGAAATAGATGAGGAAATCTGTGGGCAAAACCTCTGTTAAATTACGACTAATAAAGACTGGCATTGATCACGAAGGACGAGTTTCGATTTCAAAAATGGATACATATAGGTCATACTAGGCATACGCATGGTCACTTGCTGGCGGGAAGACTGTTACAAGTGAACACGAGAAAAAAATTTATGTTTTTTGCACTGGGGTGACCAGACTCGGGCAGAGGCGAGGGTGCCCTCGGAAAGATTGAGCGAGGTCTGGAAGAGGCCGAAGACGCGCTGGTGGCATTTGGAAGATGAAGGAAGCCCAGCCAGGGCTCAGCGGGGACACTGGCGAGGAGTGGGGTGCGACGGGAGTGAACAAAGAGGCCTCGGTGTGGACGAGCGAGGCGAAAAAGTAAAACGTGACAGTATATTATTTTATTATTTTTGGGACTTTTCTCATCGTCGTGGAGTGGAGGGTTCGCGTGTACGAGGGGGGAACCGTTCTGGAACGACGAGAAAAAGGACGTACACGAGATTCGAGCTTTTAAGTTATAAGATTGGTTTCTGGACAGTTTTTTTTTTTTTTTTTTTTTTTTTTTAATTCTGAAGAGACTTGTTTTATTTTTTTTTTTACATCTTATTCTTAATTCAGAGGACATTAATATTTTATTTTCTTGTTGTGTTTTACAGATCAGCTGATCCGCTATCTAGTATAGACGCGTTTTTTGTGCTCTACTTTCATTGACTTATGACTCGACCTAAAATTGGGGCTAGTTGATTTTGTTTGTTTTTGACTTTCCTTCTGAGTCAGTGAGTGTATGTGCGTTATTATTTTTTGTGCGGAATCTGGAGGGCGAAGCATTGCAGCGGACCTTGCCGCCTACTGCTACTCAACAGGTTAGAGTTCGCAATCAGGTAAGGTTCAATTCGTTAATCTGGCAACCCGTAAACCCTCAATATGGACCTAAGTGAACCAGAACTATTCTCTAGTGAAGAGGTACGTTCTAATACATCTTCGCAGTTTTATTCTTTAAAAAATAAAAGACCTCCACCATCTGGCAATTATCTCAAAAATAAAAAGAAGAAGAAAGGCAGACCGACTAAAAATAATTTGATGGATGAATATAGAGACCAAATAGAAGAAAATTTTAAACCAAATGAGATTCTGACAATTGAGCAGCAGTCAAAGAGTAGCGATATGCCACCATGTTTTATTACAGCAAACCCATTTGCTCCATTAGCGGAGTTGAACGGAGAAAATAAAACAGCTGAGATTAAGCAACCTTCCAAACCTGTTAAACCACCACCTATATTTCTTAAAAACATTGTGAACTACTCTGACTTTTGCAAGACAGTGAAAAACCTTGTTGGTAAAAATGGTTTTACCTGTAAAGCTAGAGTTCAGGATACAATAGTTTACGCCCGCTCAGTCGATGCGTATCGAACAATTATTCGATATTTAAAAACACAAAAGGCTGAATATCATACCTATCAGCTTCAAGAAGATAAGGCTTTTAGGGTCGTTATGCGTCACCTTCATTATTCTACGCCCCCAGAATTAATTAAGGAAGAACTAGAGAACATTGGCTACAATGTTAGGAGTGTGAC